TACGAGCCAGATTATGATTCTGTTTACAGACTGCCCATTATGCAGCAAACACACTGCTTGCTGATGTTTTGTATAGCAGTGAGTGTGGGATGGTTTCAAAGCTTTTGCAGACTTTTAGCCCAAAGACTCCTATTAGCTGTAACAGAAGCCATACAAAACCACATGGCTTTGCAAGGATTATCTGGAGGTAGGAAGTCTGCAGTTGTTTGGAACACTAGTTTTCTCACATAGCAGTATTAACCAAGGTTTTCAGTGCACTGTAATAATCTACTTCATTAGTACAGATTCAGAAATAGCACAAATCAGTCCAATTCACAGCAATATCCAAAATTCCTATCACAAAGGACCACTGGAAAGTGAACCTTACTTGTGAAATTTTAGCATAGTATTTGAATATTGACCCTTTCAGCAATGAACCTTTAAACAAGGGTTATTAAAAGTGACAACCATTCCCTGACCGTTCCCTAGGGTCAGAGCTATTCAGAATAAAATTTACCTGCAGAAACTCAGACAGAGCTCACATGGAACAGATGATCAGTGTTGACAATTGCATTTGAATGGTGTGGGTTCCACCCATGGCAATGGCAAAAAAAAAAGAGAGTTTAAGAAAATATAGTTTGATAAATGAGCTGGGCCTCACCATTCCCTCCCCCTTTTTTTGATTATTTTTCAGTATATTTTTTCATGAAATAACAGACAATGAGTGGTGAAAATTATGTTATTCTGCTAACTTTTCAAATTCCAAATGAATTTGCCAGACTGAAATTCATGACTATGTGTCTGCACTTGCTGAGCAGTGTATCAACAAGTGTTGTACTGAAATACATCAACTCTAGAGAACATGGGGTGAGCCCAGTGTTCTTGCACATTTGGTTTGCCCCTAGCAGTAAATCCAACAGATCCAAACAAAACTTCTGGATCTATAGTGTGGCCTTTTATCCAGGATTTCCAAATATCCGGCAAGCCAGTCAGGGCTATTGATCTGGTTGGACCAAGAGATGCCAAAATACAGAGGAAAATGGTACCTCAGAAGCAGTAAAGTAGCAGTTTTCTCATATGGTATAAAAGGGAAGGTAATGGGTGAAAGCTGTCTCCACATGTGAAAGAGAATAATAGAAAGAAAATTAGACAAACTTTGTGCCTTTTTAAATGATGAGAGAATAATAGCAAATACAGCTTGGGTAGTATCTTGAGCACTTGGCAGTGTAATTGAACTCATACTTTTCCTATCAGATCATTGCAATTTTTAAAAAAAAAAGGCTCTGTTTGTGACTTCCATTGTATAAGTTGTATCTATGACAATGAAAGTTAAACAGTGTGGATGGCATTGGCTGCTGGATTGCATGCACTAATCATTTTGGGAAAAGTATCCAAATACTTTTTTTTGCTATTCTTCCGTTAGCTTCAGGTGAGAGTATGTGAGCCTTTTTTTTTTTTTTTTTTGCTATTCTTCTATTAGCTTCAAGTGAGAGTATGTGAAGGAAGAAATAAACATTTCATGAGCAGCTGTTATGTTATCAACAATTTTTTTTTAAAAAAAAGTAATTTTCCTGCCGTATTGTTTATGAGTATGCACATTTCTTATTTGTCTTAATATTCTGTCTTATCTGATTACCTTTTAAATGACTTACCTTTTAAATGTATAACAGAGGTATCCCAGCTGCAGCCAGGAATAAAAAGTTCTTCAGTAGTTTACTCAGCAAGATATTTTTTCTGGCTATTCATTTACTAATATCATAAAAAGTAATTAATGTGAACTATGTACAAATGGAATAGGTTAAACAGAGTGAGAGTTGACTACCTTGAATGAAACCCTTATGATTTATTTACTTTTATATCCAGATAATTTGTCCATTGCATTTCCAAATGAAATGGGAAGCAGAAATGAGAACATTTTTTGATGAAGGCTGGTGCCAGTGTCCATGGCAAAGGCTTCATAGAGAAGATCTGTTAGAAAGATAGTTGATCTGTTGAGTTTCTCTCAAGAAACTTTGAGAGACTGAATAAGAAATATAAGATATTCAATGATTACCCAAATGAACTTTGGGGATTTTCTTTTGTTATTTTATTGTTCACTAATAAACCATAAATGAGATTTTGGATTTATTTATCTTTATGAATCAGGTACTGTGTAAAGGTCATGCAGTAAAGCAGCTCATCACTTTTCCATTTCAAATACGTTTATGGCGAATCATATTAGGATGGCCCCACCACAAGGTAACTAGAAGCATGAGAAAGGAGTATTTGTTAATTGAAATGCTATTGAAATGCTAGTATTTAGACAAGGCAGAACTTATTTGCTTGGTCCTGTGAAGAACAATAAAATCTGTATTTCATTTATAAACATTTATATGAGTACTAGCCTAAAACTAGAGGCATTGAAATAGATGTATAGTATATTGTATATTGCTTTCCTTATAGAGTGTACCTTATGTTTCTAATATGGCAACAAACAAGTAAATTTTTTAGGACAAACTGAAAGGACGTCTTTATAACAAACTACATTATAGCAGGTCACACTATGACAGCAAGATGGGAAGCCACAAGGAAGTGCAGGCACGTTATTAAAAGATCATTTGGGGTGTTCTTAGACAGCTTCATCCTTATATTCTCTATTAACAACATACCTGCAGGAGTTTGTAAAGTTTGTTCTTCTTGTTTGAGGCCTTACTCAAACAAATAAGGCTTTGGAAAAAGGAACAGTATAAAAGGCAAACTGCTTGTCCTCACTCTGCAAGAATCATATCACCAAAGCTGGCTTGAAATGAGGTGGAAAGGGAAAATTAAGAAATATAAGTGGAACTGAAGAGAAGGGCTTGAACAAATATTACATTTTTTCTAAAGAAGGCCCAGGTTATTGGCACTACTTGCATTTGCTTGAGAAAATCAGCTTGTCAGGAAGTGATTCAGGATAGACATTCCCTGATCTCTGCAGTCTGCAAGATTCACAGACAGCATCTGCTTTTGCCTTTCCCTGGGACACATGTAGAAAGACCCCGTGCTGCATGGAGGCCTGTGTAAACAGTAACTCACAAATGGCAGTTGTAAAACAAGAAGAATAAACTTTCAAGCACATTTTGTCAGAAGCTCATCAGGTCACAGCTATCAAGATATACATTCTAGTATAGGAAGAGCAGTACAAATGTTAAAGCTTTTAAGACCATATGTAGTTCACTGCACACACAATTTTCTCATGGCCTACACACATGGCACATCAATTTATTACATAGACTCATGTCCCGTAGAGGGATTAATACTGAATTATGCTATGTTGTACTGATGCTGCGGCCTCGGATCATCCTTGCTCAGTGACACAACACAGGTTTGTTTCATACATTTGTTATGCACTTCAACTGCTCTCAGCCAAAGGCATAAATGACAGAACCAAACTTCACTGTTTTGTTTTCAAGTACATAAGTCTTTGGTTAGTGATAAATTCCATCGGTCTGGGGAAGCTATCAGAACTGAAATAGTAGTTTACAACAAGAGATACCTACTGTAACTTTCAGACAACTAAGACTGCCAAATAAAATTCAATAAAGAAACTGAAAAGCAGCATGAGAGAGATAATTTCTATCAACCCTGTCTCTCGTGGCAAATAGTATTTTGCCAAATAGCTGGAAAAGTACCCAGACTTGATCTTGCTAGCACTCTGTTGGTTTTGTTGTGTGAAGATCTTCGTTTAAATGAACTACTGAGCTTTTCTGTCCAAATGCAAGCTCAGTCTATACTGCCACATCCCTTCCCAGTAGGATGAAGCCTCCTGTTTTAAAATAATATCCTGATTCACATGGTACTAAAATTAATCTCCTGGCCATTAAGTTGACAGAAATGCCTAGAGACACCACCTTATTCGATGCTTATTACTGAAAAGGAAACAATTAACTGTCATTAATTAGGTTATCCTCATCTGTGTAAGAAATTGTAAACAAACTGCTTCAGCCATAAACATCACAGTGCTCTAAATTCTCATGGAGCTTCAGAATTACTTAATGTCATCCAAAACTGCTTTAATGCTACGTGTCCTCTGTTAATAGTGCAACGTTTTTATCTTGTTACCTAATGCAGAATGTTGGGCAGTTCCAGTCTGAGTCTTTTCAAAACCTTTCAGGACACTAACATAACAATACAGAAGTGCACAAAATGTGCTTACACTCAGGAGAGCTTGGCCTATTCCCACAGGGGTGTGGAGACCTTGAGCTGGTAGAAGTGGGGGGACAATCTTCATATTAAAATATATTTATCCAACTTGCAAAACAGAGAGGTTGAAAATCAGACAAGCAGCAGTTTCCAAGGTTCAGAAAGCTGAGTAAAATTGTGCTGCACGGAACAGTTCTGCTCTGAGCAACACACAGGCCATCTATATGTAAGAACGCAGAGCCAGGCAAATAGCCCTCTTCCTTCAATATTCTGAAATTTTCATATCTACAATTTAGCTCTGCATATATTTGTCCTTTTTACTGGAGCTGTTTGCAAGCACATGAGACAGAGACTACTCCTCAGGTTTTACTTGGGCAACACTTTAATCAAAGGGAAAACCCGAAAGATGCAACTAAGGCATGAAAGATTAATCACCCTCTAGATTTACCTGCAGGGGAAATTAAGATCAATCTGAACAAATCACCAATTAAATCACCAAGTTCAGCCTTGCTTCAGACTCCTGGAAGGGAGCGGAAGAATGAGATCGCTCCAGCCAAAGCTCAAGCTTGACCTTCATGATTTTTCCATTAGATGGGAGAGCCAGGATCATAATTGCAGACAGCTAGCAAATTATTATCAGTTTTTCTTGATGAGCTATTGCATGCAAAGTACAATTAATTCTCAAAGGTTTTGGGAAGAGACTGAACTATGACTTAATGGGCTCAGGCTGTGAAGTTCTTGCCAATAACAGTGGCTTGTTCTGCAAAGTCTCTCATAGTCACAGGGTTACCCCACTGAACAAAACACAAACCACAAAGGAAAATTTAGTAGCATTCAGTTCCTTCTTTGAAGGTGGATGGAGAGGCTGAGCAAATTGGCAAAGTGAACAGAAGATTATTTGTGGTTGGGAAGCACTTCCTGGCCTCTCCACTCCAAGACACTGGTCTGACATGTGTGTGACGCACCAGCACACTGAACAATCACACTACACACAGTCTCCTCAACACAAGGTGAAACACTGAAAAGAGTAACTGCTGAATTTTAGCAAGCTGAGAGAGGTTAAAATCAACTCAAAACAGGACATAAGGTCAGTCTTAGCAGTGGAGCCCACTGCATTCAGTAAAAACAGCATCATCTCTCTCACAGTGCTCCTCTGAAAAACTCCTAGCTGTGTTACTGATCTCTGGGCCCTAACTCGGTGGCGATTAATACACTCCATAGAAGAGTCGTCTCAGCTATCGGGCTGATGATGATCACACATCCAACCAAAGCAAGGTCCTACTTGTTCTGTCATTTCTGTTTCACAAACAAACCTTAATGCTGGGGTAATGCTGGCACACTGCTGAATGCCAGACAAAAGGCATTAATGCTAAAAAAATCCCAAATTTAAGATGATTCCTAGCCTCTCAGAATCCTTTAAAGTGAATGATGACCGAAGGCTTCTGCCAGAACAGAACTTGCACAAAGGATTGTAATTTAGAAGATATCTAAAAGACACTCAGCATTAATACTTGACAAACATTTTTATTTAACTGATTTAAGTTATTATTTATACCCTACAGTTTTCACTGCTTCAGATTTGAAATGTAGAAATATTATAAAAGGTGCGGTGAGCAAAAAAACGACATGCACAACAGAAAGAATTTTTAAAGAGAGTCGTGAAGATTATTCCTGAACCATACAGACCTTTTGCTTCTGAATGTAGGAGAAAAAAGCCCTAAGCCATAGTACAAATGGCATGGAGATACTGCCAGCCCTGTCTTCACTTGAGAGGTGCTGCACCTGCACTTTGCAAAACAGTTACCTTGAGCTTCACCGAGGTTCCCTACCTGCAGTCGACTGCTACATCTTCAGGATCATGCACAGTACAGGGGAACTGCTCTGCTACAGAGAATACATAACGGAAGAAGAAAAAGAAAAAGAAGAAATAATTCTGGCATAAAAGAGATATTTAAAACGTAAACTGATGATGTAATCAAAAATATTTATCTATTCTTTAGTAAAGGTATGCTGAAGTTTGAAAAGTTGTTTCCATCATAATTGTCTTATTACAGCTCAGCTTTGGGAGTTTTTATTTTCAGTTTAATAAGTTTGACCATAAATTAAGCCTCTTTTTGAAAGATGGAACTCCAGATTGTTAAGCCAAACAGCTGCTTTTCTTTTCAGGTTTTAACTGGTTTTAACATAATGTCTTTCCCTGCCTCACTTGAGGTAAACTATTTTGAGATGTTTGTGGCTAAATTGTTTCAGCTGATAAAGCAGCAACTGCAAACGGGATCTGTTAGGTGAATAAAACATAATCAGTAATAAACAGTGCCCCTCAGTTGATATTCAGGTTATTTTTAGTGCAATTTCAGAAGTAGTTTGTTTTGTGTTGAGCTTTTTTTGTTGCTTTTTCCCCAGATGTTATGACATTTTGATTTACCTTCATCACTGTTACTGAATCCAGGCTTTTCTGCCAAGCCTGTAGAGTGTCTATTTTTAGCTCCATGAGCTACTAATCCAGTTCCTCTGACAACTGCAATTTGTTGGAAGAAATGACTAGCATTGCGTTGTCTTGGAGCTACGAGCCCATCTGAGAAACTGGCTGACCTTTACAGCGAGTGGGACTCACGGGCCCGCATTTCCGCAGGGCTTGGATTTCATTACCACAGCCGTGTGTGTGAGAGGGCTGCCCCTCCTGCACAGCTCTGCCTCTTTGCTTTGCTTTCCTGACAATTACACAAACTGTTTATTGTACATGGAAAATCTGCAAGTTTTCTCAGCTCTTTGGGACAATACTATTTGTATTTCCATTTCCCTGGAGAGAAGGACAGTTTGCAGCGCGGAGGACTGCAGGCTATCGTTTCTTCACAAGACGCATTTTCCCACGGCCTCCTTACCCAGGACTGCAGCGGAAATCTCCACAGATGCTTAAGGGCCAGAAAGACAACAGCAAACAGAACGGAGAAGTATGTGATTCGTAGAGCAGCGCAGCAACCAAAGCCTGCTCGCTTGAGGATCAGAGCCAGGCCAAGATCCTTAAATCCCTGGGGTGGCAACTCCTTTAGACTGGACTCTATTTAGACTTCAGCAAAAGGCACAGCACTATCGCATGTGAGGAACTGCATTTTAAGGCCTGACATTGAGATGCAGCATATCACTAGCACGCTTTAGACCAATGGAGTTAAATCTAGGTCTTAACCAATATGATCTGATTGGCATTTTTGCAAAAAGTGCTTGGGGAAATACTGCTATCTTCAAAAGGAAATATAAATGCCTGCTGGCTACAAGTTCTTTGGAGAACAGGACTGTTTCTTGAAGAAATGTCAAGAACACTAGATTATATTGCAGACTAGGTTTCTTTTTGTTATGATATAACACTCTTCCAAACACATTCTTACTTTCCAAACTCTTCCTAGGCTATATTTGCTTACAAAGCAGAAAAGCTTTACTCTTTGTTAAGTGCTAAAGTTAAAGTACCATATCTCTACACACTTTTAAAAGGTATTCTTACCATAGCCTACAAATTTCTACAAGCTGCCAAAGCACCTCATCTGCAAAGTCTCCTACCAACAAAAAAGATTTTGTATTCACTACAAACTCTAGAGACTACAAATTCTACAAACAAACACTACAAACTCTACAGACTCTAGAAAAGTCAAATAGTAGAAAAAAAGGGCATTCTTCCTTTGCTTCTTTCTTTAGAATATTAAACTTCCCTTTTTCCTTACAACTTTTCTGTGCAGCTAGAGAATGAACTCTTTATTTAGAATACAAAACAACTTTCCTCCTAAAATAGCGCGCGCACTTACTTCTCCTGCAGTTCCACTAAAACTCTAAGGATAAGGACTCAAACTCATTATGATGCCATGAGCATTCAGGGCATTATGTACAGCACTTTCTTTCACTCTGCATCACACCCAGTGTATTTTCTGGGTCATCAAGGTTTGAAATAAAACTGAGGATCAGCAGCACGTCTACTCACAGCAGCTCTCTCTCATACACACATACTCTCCTCACTTTCTTTAGATGCTTTCTCCTTTTCTTACCCATACACTGTCGGACCTGTGAAAAGTTTTCAGAAGAAAATGCTGGCACTCTTAAATGCTGGGAAGAACCAGTTGGCCCCAGAGTGTGAGATGAAATCACTAGTATGTTTCAGAACCTGCTTACCCCAAACACACCCTCTGCAGACGAGCCTAACAGGATGGATCTGGCTGAGCAGCACTTTCCCCATTAGGAGCCCCCCGAACATTATAAAGGTGGCACATCCCAGCACACCTGGGAGCATGACCGCAAAAACTGCATAGATTATAAACAGCTCCACATTCCATTCTCCAGCATGGGCACTAGGAAAATTCACCTTTGCTGCTGGTCAGAGATTTAGCATTTGTTTTCATATATCATTAAAACAATACTTCAAAGGAATAAAACTAACGTAAATTTATAATCCACATTTCCAAAACTTATTTGGGCACTCAGAACCTCAGGATTCTTTAGCAAACCAGCTTAACCTCCAGAAAGAGGCTGTGTTTAAACACAAGAAATTGTGGAGTGTGCCACTTATGTAATTTTGGAAATTTAACTTCCTTCATCTAAACAAATGCAAATAACCTGCATTAGGTCAACATCCTTTAAGTGTACAGTTCCAGAATGACTTCAATCAGAAATGGCACATAAACTTTAAAAATAAATGTACATGTCCTTACTTCTTTTCTCTTTTCCATGATCAGTGTATATACATACCCCAAGGGAGAGAGTGAGGAGAATGGGGCCAGGCTTTTCTCCGTGGTGGCCACTGACAGAACTAGAGGTAATGGCCACAAACTGAAGCACCAAAAGTTCCACATGAACTTAAGGATTTTTTTTTTTTTTTAACAGAGGGTGACAGAGCCCTGGAACAGGCTGCCCAGAGAGGTTGTGGAGTCTCCTTCTCTGGAGATCTTCAAAACCCACTTGGACACAGTCCTGTGCCATGTGCTCTAGGCGACCCTACGTGTGCAGGTGGATTGGGCTAGATGATCTCTAGAGATGCCTTCCAACCTTAAGCATTCTGTGATTCTATGATTCTATGACCTGGTCTCTCAAGCAGTGCTTATAATAAACAATGCTAAAACAGATTCATTAGCTCTCCTAATCTCTGGATATTAATCAATCTTAACATCAATTTATTGTTTTGTATAAAGGAGAAGTGATCCATTACATATACATGTCTTACTGCTGATATGTATCATTCCTATTTTCCTATACTTTACAAGTACTGATGTTTCTAGCACAGCAGAAAAGTCCTATTCAGTGTTCAGAGAGTGTCTTAAACTCTATTACACTCTATTTACAAGAGTCTTTTCTACTCCTATTCCATAGTTCTGATTTTGCCTTCCCCTACTTAAAATAAGTGACAATACATATTTTTAAAAGCTAACAGACAACACCTCGCAATATCAGACGATTCTACCACATGCTCTTCTCCCCTGGAGAAGAAGATGACAGGGCAAACAGTACATGACAGAGTATTATTGTGTCATTTAACATTCTGGTAGAAGCTGCTCAGACAAGGTGAGAGGTGTTGTACAGGCAGCTACACATAACACAATAGCCTGGCTTAGCTTATTGCTTCAGGAGTAGTCATTAAGCAGTATTGCTAGGAAATGCTTCTCTAGAGAACAGGTAGTTGAATGCAAGACCTTCTGCTGTTGGAAAGTTAACCCTGAGCCTACGAAATCAAAAATTATATTAACAATAACTTGGTGACTATCTCTCTGCCCTTTAGAATCTATAGTTTTATACCATCATGACTACAGGATAACTAACAAGGTTTTATTTAGGTGTTCTGGCAGATAGCTCAGGTGAAGGTAGCATAAAAGTTTTGCTTAATTGGGTTAGGAGCAAAAAGCTTTGCTAAATCACAGTCCTAAAGATGTTCAGAAGCTGTCATGAGCAGTGCTGATACCATACTACAGAGTCCAGACATCAAAAGGAAGAGATTTCCAGGACTGTAGCAGCTCCTGCTCTTCTCAGTCACTGTGACTACCAAAGCAAATTTTTATTTACCCTGGGATATGTTTATGTATCCACCTGCCACTTAGTTTGATTCAATCTATTCCAGGCAATGCAAAAATCTGAAAAGCAGTCCATACTATAATGTTTCAGACATAGCATTTGGACTGGAAAGAGTTCAGTTTGGTAGGACTGATCTTGCCTATGACATTTAAAAAAATACATGTCTAGTCTAAGTTAGCTGTCTGCGGTCACTGAGAAACCTAACTATCAGGGATTTAGATATTCTTATGTTGCGTCTTGAACAGAACTGACAAGCACCTGGAAATACTTTTTAGAGGAAAACTGACTTTTGGAACACTAGAGCTTGGTGGCATAAGTGACATTTATAGTTAGAAACTCTAGACATTTAGAAACTATGTAGGAAACGTGGGAGTGGATTGTGTGAACCTATCCTTAAACAGCTTTTTTTTTTTTTTTTTTCCCATGGACTCAAATAAAGTCAACTGAAGACTTAGTCACCCTGCTTACACCATCTGCTGCAGGTCACAGACATACAGGTACAGCAGGAGCAGCAGAGTGGGGTATATCTGCACTTTAGCTGCCTCACTTCATGCTCTTAACTCTGCAAAGGATGGATTGCAGCTAAAACAATTTACTAGCGGTCTAAGTTAGGGTGTCAGACAGTGGCTGTGAGTGGATGACTCATGGATATCATGACATGCAGTAGCTGCCTCTGTTACATGGACAAGAGCTTCTGGAGCAGAAGAGAGTCAGAGCTGGAGGCAGGAATGAACACTGGCAGCAGAAGCCTCGCATCAGCTCCCTCCATGCCAGTCATGGGCACAGAAGCAACAGACACTCCATCCAGATGGCCTTACTCCATCTTTGGAAACTGAAATCCCTAGAGTACATGGCTAGTTTAACACCTGCCTCCTCCAATGTCTCTGCCCAGGCTTCCAACAGAGTTGCCACTTTGCATCACTCGCCGCATTGTCGTCTGTAACTTTACCCATGCTCCAGGGAAGCTGACTGAGACCCCTCATGCTATTTCTTCAGATGGCGTTTTATTGCTCTAGTGACACAGTGATACTACCTGGACCACATTTAACTAGAGGTTAATCTCTCTAAACTGCAGGTTTAGAAGTAGCTTCTAAGCAAGTCAACTCTGAAGAGGTGAATGGTTTGTTGTCTGTGACTGAACTGCTGATTTCTCTGCTGCTTTCTTGCATGATAGTCAAACCACAAAAGATCAGTTATATACATGAGGTTAAATGGTTTACAGATTGTTACTGTAAAGCTGCTCATGCATCACAATTAATAAAATACTTAAGGAGAATCTTTTAGCTACATGGCTAAATTTAGTGCTTATGGACGTTAAAATTAGACAGAGTCCACTGGCTTCTCAACCCAAATCTGCCAACAAGAACTTGCACTGCAGTCCTCCCTCTGAAGATGTGAGTGCCTGCCATGTTACCGTAGCAGCACTGTCTTTACTGCAAAGAATAAAATCAGACCTTTAAACTCATCTATGTTTTAGATATAAGCAGCTGCATTAACAAAAGATGCTAATTAGAGCAATAATTGGAATTCCTCATTATGCATGTCACATACAGGCTGCAAGAGCAAGGGAAGTGAAGTCTTTTGAGCAGCAGAAACAGGACCTAGAGCAGGAAATAGTATGCAGGGTGATGGAAGTACAAACAGTAGCAAGCGCAGAGACCTGAGAGGCAGATCAGAACCTGCCTGTTAAGTCTCCTGCACAGTCAGCATCTCTAACTCATCCACAGGCTCCATCATCACTGATGTCCTCGACCTCACTAAAGTGCTGAGAATAATGTATTCCCTTGTCTGAAGGGAGCCACTTCTAAGTTTGGCAAGATTTCTTATGCTTTTGCTGCTAGTTTGAGCAATTTCTATTTCCAAAATTTATACATATACTACAAATATATAATTTTGCAAAAGGCCAACGGAACACAAAAACAAAACCAGAAGCTCTGAGATTGCATTAAGACAAGGAATTAGTTCTCCTCAGTGAGCTCTGAGAGCTCAGCAGAGGTGCAGTCTTGGGACTGGAAGAGGAAAGAACCCAGAAAATGCAAGAATTTGCCATTCTGTTGCTGGCAGGATGTGTTGCATTAAGTAAGCAAGCATGACAGCTTGTGGAAGATGAAGAATCTGAAAACAGTCCAGAAATTATACTTGCCCCAACAACTGATACAGATTTCATACTCATCTGTAATTCAACACATATAGTTTTTCCATTTCATTTTTAAAATATGCTGGGAAAAGGATCTGTTCAGAACAACAAACATATAATTTCAAAATGGTTAGCAGACTAAGTGCAGTGCCATGATAAAGGTATGCAACATACCACAACAACACTGTACTGTTTGCTTTATACAGGAGAAAAAAAAAAAGGATGTTAATGGAAAACAAAGAAAAGGTTATACTTCAGATAACTACCGGACCTAGTAGGTAACATCAAGAGCATAGGGAGAGACTGCACTGTGAAACAGCACATGCACGCAGCATATGACTTGCTAACAAATCAACTAAAAGGATCTCTTCCTCAGAAAAGGCAATTCCCATACAAAATTTCCTGTGTTTTAAAAGCTTTGGCTTTCTGTTTGAAGAAGCAAGTTTGGAGGCTCCAAAATGCCTCTTCGGACAAACTCAGATCTGAAACTGGATGTGGGAATGAACAGTGAAGCCAAAACCACAACCACAGTTAATGGCTCTCTAGAATGAAACAAAAGCAAAATCCTGTGGGACTCTGCAAAGACAACCAAGCTTTCAGATCCTGTCTCAGCAGCAACTCTCCCATGCAATCTGTCTTTGCATGACACAGTGATTACCACAGTGATGCAAGAATATAATTTACTCCATCTCTCTATCACTTCCATCACCATTTTCTTTTGAGTGTCTGATCTCTCTGCACTGTGTTACAGAAGAGCCTGTGTGACAGGAAGCTTCAAGCAGAAGGAGAAATCTTACACAAATCCTTAAGAACTGCTCTAGGGAGCTCTCTGCTCTGCTGTTGTCTTTGGCTACTTACGCTTCAAGACATTTGCAGGAGAAGTTGGCTGCTGGGTCAACACCTGTGGTAATTCCATGGTTTCCAGCCCCTTTGACCTTGAGTAGAGATTGGCCACAGAGGACAAGTCTGTGGCAAAAGAAGTGATGAACCCTAGCTGGGTTCCTTGCATCCTCTTCTCCTCATCCTGTACAGATGATATGGTCACTCTGCACCTTTACAGAGGGTGAATTTGGCCCTCATAGAACCTCAAGCAAGGAGATGTTGCTGCTTACAGCTAAGGAAATAAACAGGTGTGTAGGTTTTAAATCACAGGAACAGGCTACTGCCTTTACGGATCAATCAGAAGTACACTACAAACTTTCTGCACTCGTTTCAGCACCACTTTCTTACTTTCCTTTCCTTCTCAAGGAGAAAAAAAAAAAGGTTTGAGAACTGGGAGATACTTTTTTTATTTATGAAAACAATGCCAGGGAAATGCGAAAGTTTCCTCTTTCCCCACAAGGAAACATTATCGGAGAAATGTTGTCTGACTAGCATCTAACTGACTTCACAGCATCAATCTTGCTAATAAATTTCATTTCACTTCATAAAGGTTTCCAACAAAATATATTTGTAACCTAATATTATAGACAGCAGACACAGCTATGAAGGTAAATAGGACTGAGAATTTGTTTCACACTTTCTCTCATGCTGAGCTAGAAAAAAACATCCCTAGAGAACACATAGCTTTTTATTAACTTCACTTGTCACAACACAGAAGCAAATAACACAATACTTAGCATCAGTGCTGAAGTTTTGGGCATGTTACCTTTACAGGAGCTTAAAAAAAGCAAAGCCTGTGTATTCTTATACAGTTAATCCAGTCTAATTCAGGGAGCTAGCTGATTTATTTGCAAACACTGTCATTGTCTCCATGGTGATGCTAACACCAATTTTTAGTTTTTGTATTGATCTCTGTGATTATAATTCACTGCATAAATTAGCCACTTGAGAGCAGGCAAGAGGAAGCGCTTCTCCTAATTTCTGGATGGCATTTGCTAGTAGGAATTAGATTGACTGTTCCTTCATTTCTCGTAAAAATGTTTCCCTGGATCTACCAGGATCAGTCAGAGAATTAAGCTAGATGTTTTGTTTTTGGCAACTGTGAGAGACAGGATATTGAGCTACAGGCTTTGGTCTGAACCTTCATGTTCTCTTAAGGGAGGAATAGGGGTGGTGTGAGGTAAAATAGGGTTTGGCCAGAGAGATCAGTAATCTGACACCAACACCTATTGCACAATAAGGATATTGCCAGTGAAGATCAAAGGAAATCTCAAAATATTAATGCCTTTTAGAATAAGTTGTTCTCCAGGAAATTAGGCTTTGCTCCATTTATGATTCTTGCATATGTCACTAGTGTTCCCTAGGGAAAAAAACACGCATACTACATCCTGTGCATCTGCGAACTAATGGCTAAAACTTGTCCTGCTGTGCAGAAAAAATCTCAGATCTGTCATTTGGATGGAAATTCTGCTACCTCAGGCTCAGAGTCTTCACCAAGTCTTTTTTTCTGCTGGACAATAGAGCTGCAAAAGCCTTTATCAAAGCAGACAGAAGGTGAAATCTTCCAGTCTTCAGGATGCTCTGATATCCATGAGAAGAATCTTTAGGATTAGTTTTCCTCTAGAAGGCAAAGAAGATCCCATTTAAGTAATATTCTGGGCTAAGTCCTACACAGCTACTCTTTTTAAACAAGAAAAGCTGCATAACTTACTCTACACTCTTATGTCTGTGGATTCAAGGTGGTCCTCTCACATACAGTCAAGCTTCATGGAAAGGAAGCCTGAAACCCTCTCAGGAGTGCTGTGCTTGCTCATTCCCACATGGAATACTGTCAGAAGGAAGAACTACAACACTGTCTTTTCCTCCACAAAAGATGCAATGGATAATTTGAACACATGGTGAATATTATTTACTTAGCTTTAAAAGGTGCCTCAAGTTATGACTACTAAATCCATAAGTAGACCTCTGTTTTCTCACCTCTAATGTGGATTATAACAATACTGGACTTCTCATGCCTCCTAGTGCTGTTGAGATCTTTGATTTCAGTGAACTTTGATCAGGCCCATTTAAAAACCATGCTGCTTCTGAATTTTAACTAATAAGCCACTTAATGCAAGAGCAGAACAATACTGGCTTGCTGAAATAGAACTCCCAGGGGAAAATTGACCAGCATTATTTTTTAAAAGAAAAACCCAAGACACAAACACTGCCTAAAAATGTGCCTCATGGAGGATCAGCAGGCAAATCTAGATCCAGACCTTGTTTCAATGGGAACCGAGGACAAGAAAATTATATGAATTTCAACCAGCAAAGAATTAGCCTTTTATTTTTATGGACATGGGCTCATCTAAAACTTGAATTGTCATTTTCATTAAATCCCTTTTCTCTGCTCCCCTCTTTTCAGAAGTTTCTGGTCTACATCTGATAACACAGAGGGCCTTTCAGCCAGTCCAGCAACAGAGGAAACTTCCATCTGGAGCATCATCAGTAACAGACAGGATTTTCAAAAACATTCTAAGTGATGTAAGAGCATAAGTTCCATTAAAAACTGGGGAAAAGCAGTATCCAGAGAGTTTCCAATGTCAGCTTCAGACTCTCTCTGACGA